AAGAGCGGAAACAGTTTGCCGAACGGCCAGCCATCAACTCGGTAAAGCAGATCGACGAAGCCTTCCACCAGATCGCTCAAAGCTTGAAGGAGTAATGCATCAATCAACAAAAAAGGTATTTTTTATTACAAGTCAAAAAAACAACTTTGTAAAAAGCAATAAAGTGATCACTTGTCCACCTAGTTGGAGGCGACCGCATCTGCATCGGGGAGCTTCATCTTCTCGTACACAAAGTCGGCAAAGGTGACGTACTGCTTGAGTCGCTTCACCCGAGCCATGTGCCGCTCCAAGTAGGGCAGAAGCTTCTCCACCTTGCTCTTAAAGTCGCCCATCTGCAGCAGCTCTTCCGGGGGAATCTGCTCCATCACCGCCCGAATGACACAGTTCGCCACCAGAAAGTGCCTGCTGTTGGTGTTCCAGTGCACCGAGTAGCCGAGCAGCGTCAGCAGCTGGTCCTGTCGGAGTTTGCTCAGCTGGCTGACCATGCCCTCGACGCTGCCCTCATCGAGGAGAATCTGCTTGAGAATGTTCAGCGAGCGCAGTGGATGGTCCATTCGAATGGCCAGGCGAAGTGCCTTCAGCCAGGACTTTTTATGCAGCAGGTTCTGCAGCGTCTGCTCACTTTGAATTGCCTCTTCACTCTTGATTGCCTCCTTCTCCCGAACCTCGGTGGTGATGTTCTTCCAGACGACAATCTTTGAGTCGTCACTTCCAGTAACTGAAATAAATGGAAAAGATAATGTTATTGCTTGTTATTATTGCTACCATGCAGCCTGCATTCATACCTAGCATTTCCTCGTCTTTGGATACTGTTAGAGCCCACACTTTGCCGTCGTGTGCATCAAACGTGGAGACGCACTCGTTTGATTTGAGGTTCCAAATTTTGAGATTACCATCTGAGGCACTGGTAATGAACTGCATTCCATTGTCGATGAAGAAGAGCTTGAGAACTGACGACAAGTGGCCCTGAAATGTCTTCAGACAGGTGAAATTGGTGATGGACCACACCTTGATGGTGGAGTCTGCCGAACAAGTGGCCAACACCTGATCTACAGGTGAAAACTGAACGTGCCAGATTCCTGTAAAAAGCAAAATCAAGTTAGTAACAAGCACAATGTTCACACTTCATAGTTTACCCTTTTTGTGGCCTCTCACCACGCCGACTAGCTTCAGATTGGGCAGCAGCCACAGCTTGGCCGTCTTGTCCTGCGACCCAGTCGCAACCAGTTGGTTATTCGGCGAGACGTCAATCGAATTGATCGCCTTCTCATGGCAGCTTTGTGTGAACTTGGCCACAATCGGCTGGCTGCTGTTGTTGTCCGCCAACTGATTCTCCTCAAACGACTGCAAGTCTTCAGGCAGCTTCCAGAACTTCAACGTGGTGTCCTCGCTGCCACTGAGGAAGAACAAGTCTGATTTGTCAGCAGCTGTCCCGGGCATGGAAGTGCACAGTGATGTAACAGAGTGGGTGTGCCCACTTCCCTGGTACAGGCACACTGCTGAAGTACAGTCGGTGCTGAACTGCCACACACGAACAGAGTTGTCTTTGGATGAACTGGCCATCAGGTAGGGATTTTGTGCGAAAACCGCCAGGTTGAGGACAATGTCACTGTGGCCAAGAAGAATGGAGCAGTTTGAGGTGGACAACTCAAATACTTTGATCTTTGGGCTATTAGTTGCCACAGCAATGTGCGTCTGCTGTTCTCCAATCAGCTTCACGTCGAGGACTTCGTCGATGTGACCCACCAGCTGGCGCAGAGGAGAAAGGTCGGCCGCATTGTGGAAGATGATGTCCTTATCGAATGAGACGGCAATCAACTGGTCCAGGGGCGCATTGTAGATGATTTGACTGATCAAAGTGTACTGATCCGATTCGCTGCTCTCCTCCTCATCTGTGTCGCGGCTGACTTTTACCTGCAACAACGACTTTTCCTGCTTGTACAGTTGATTTCCACTTTGGTAGTCCCATAGTTTGAGAACGCCACTCTCGCCGGCAGTAACCAAAACAGAGTTTGGTGCAGATTTGGCAATTTTCTTTCCCAGCACAGTCAACTGAGACCGTGGCACCAGGTCAATGCTCTCCACCGACTCGTAGATGGCAATGATGCGCTCCTTCTCGAAGGTGCTGCCATTCCAAACAATGACCAGCTTGTCGCGGCTAGAGGAGATCAGTTTGTTGTCGTCGTCAGAGTAGACAATGTCGGTGATTTTGCCGTTGTGTCCATGAAGCACATTGACGTGCTTGCTGCTGATTAAATTCCACACGTGGATCACATAGTCGTCACCCGAGGCAAACAGGTGATATGTTTCGCTGGTAAAGTTGGTTGCAAAGAAGAGCGTACTGACGACGCCTTTCGCCTCTTTCAAGTTATGAGTGCAGTAATTGTTGACAATGTCCCATATCTTCACGGAACTGTCTGATCCGCCGGTAGCAACCAGTGTGCCGGAGCTGTCTAATTTAATGGAAGAAATGGGACCGGCATGCAGCGATTTCCAGGTGCGCTGCAAAACACAATCCACACGCAGGTGTGTTTCAGCATTTTCATCCGTCTCCTCGCCAATGTCTATTGACCAGTGACGCAGAAGGCCACTGTTGTAGGCTACTATGAGTCGGTTTTGTGAATATTCAAATGTGATGATGTACTCCTCTTCGTCTTTTGAATCGGATTCATTTACTTTGAGGTCGTAAATCTGCTTTGCACTTTCAATTTCGGTGAATTTGATGGAGTTTGAGCAGGGTGACACGATGACACGGCCCGTCGGGTCCACTGCAATTCGCTGACCAGTAAACAGCTGTTCAAACGTTTTCTCCTCTTTGTAGTTGAGTTTGAAATCTTTATTTTTTGAAGCCATAATGAACCGGAGAATGTAAGAAATGTAAGAATGCAAAAAACAATGTTTTGAGAAAATAAGAAAAGCACGTGCAGAGTTTCAAAGTGACTATTTCGACAGCACAGTGCCTGGCTATTGCGAGTATTTTTTGGGATTTTCAAAAACAAAAAAAAATGAAAACACAAAACAGTTTACGATAAACAAAATCTGAGTTTGATAACACTTGATAACAATTTATACTTTGTGTAATTGATAAAGTTTAATTTTTCAAGAACGACTCTCGTACTTGAGGAGCCACTCCTTTAGCTTCGGGCCGCCGCCGCTGTATTCACCAATTCCTCCCGACTTTTTGATCACTCGATGGCACGGGACGACAATCAAAAAGGGATTGTTCTTCATGGCTGCTCCGACAGCACGAGAAGCATTTGGATTCTTAACAAGCTCGGCAAGTTGGCTGTAGGAGCACTGCGATCCAAACTTTACTTCAGAGGCCAGAGTGGTGTACACTTTCCAAAAGAACTCGGCTAAAAAAAGCGAAAGCAACACGTTAGTACAACTTTTGACAATAGTTTTAGTTGATAAAATTAAATGTCGCAAAAAAACTTACTGATACCAATTCCAGGACAAAAGGCTGGAGTTTTGCTAAGCGTAACTGAGTGCTTATCAGGATCCGCTCCTTCCCCGGCAAAGTACTCGCTAAACCATTCAATGCACTCTTGCACTGACTTGGGCAGATTCTCCGTTTTGCTCTCAATCAGCTTGAACTTGGTGTTCAGATCAGGAACGACTGCCACCGTCTTGTCAACCCGTTTGATGTAATGCATCCCTTTATCACAACCTGCGATTTCAAGTTCACCAATAGGACTTGCGAAAATAGCTGGAACGTGTTTGTTGCAAATCATCTTTGAGCTTTATTTTTGTTGTATGCAGTTAAAAGAGAGATAGATCGAGAGATCAGCAGATCAACAGAGAAAAAGATCACTGACAGAATCACCGATTCACTGACGTTTGGAAAACGTTTTTTTT